CTGGAAATGTGAACCATCAGTGGTCCTTAAGTTATCTTTAATAGTAACAAAAAACTCTTTGTTAGATCGAGTTGAATAGTACATTGAACCATTCCTAAGACTGCTGTTTGGTTTTAAGAATGTAGAAACAGACCATCTATACAAAGCAAAATAATATTAGTAATGCTTAATTACAAGATTAATAAATTTTACCTAGGATTAATCTTCATGTGTTTAGGAAGGGGTTCTATACTACTAGGTAAAGGATAAATCTTTAATACTTCATTCCACAAATTTTCAATCCATGGATCTACCACAGCATCATATCCAAGATCATGCTGGTCATCTGCTAAGCCCATATTAACCAAGACTTTACCTCCTAATTGTAATAATCTTTTGTGCAACCTTTTAGCTGCAAAATTAAACTTAGCATAACTTGAATCTCCCAAACCCAAGACAGCAAATCTAAAATGATTATGGAATAAAGGAAAAGTTTTGTAAGTAGTAACTGACACTTACTTGAGGTTTGAAAGGGAATCAAGGGGAAGATTTTTTCTTAGAAGAAATTTCCAAAACATTTTCATATTATCAGGTTCTTCACCCTGGCCTGTTGTTGAGCAAACAAATATAACGCACTTTTCTGCAATTAAGTCTTTTATATTATATTCATCCATAGGTTTAACAGACCCAGTAAAGTAAAAACGTTTTGATTCTCTCCAAATCCTCTCAGCAACATCTTGTGAATTTCCTGTTTGTGAACCGTACAAAATTGTAATTGTTCCATTTACAAACATACTTTTGATTAAAACATTAATAAATCAATGAAATTAATAGTTAGCAACATTAAAAAGCACCAACGGACCAAAGGGCAATTGGCACAAAAACTAAACACACACAATAAAACTAAAAAAGGTTGTAATGTCTGAATTTTAACTTTTTCTAGTTATGTATGTTAACACGTTTAATTAAATAACACTGAATTATTTATCGGAATTTAAGATAAAATTCTCATTTTCATACCCTAGTATTTTGAGGTTAGAAAGGTTTGACGTTTATAGTCAAGGTCGTTCTTTTTAAATTCAATATTTCCTTGCAGGTATGCAAAACCGTATATGAGTTGTATGTTGGGTTGCATACAAAACGTTAAGAACATTATATTAATATATTTAAAATTTAATTGTATTATTTATTGGCTTAAACACTAATTATTGCAATAGAAAATTTATTTATTTCTTTATTATTTACATGTTTATCCATTTATTCATTTTATTCAGTATTTGTTTAATTACTTTACCGAGTATTTCTTATTTTTTATGCTTTACTCTTTATTTATTTATTTGTTATTAACTTATTTATTGAAGCAAAAGGAGATATTTAGTAAGAACCATACAGATCTAAAAACAAAAATCTGGATTGAATATTAAGAAATTTTCCTCATTGACCTCTCTTTAAATTGTTACCAAGGAAACGTTTACAAATTTTATAATTTTCACTGTTTACATTGAAAAAATTATGTGTTTACATCATCTGCACAATTATTTCTCATATTATTATTAATGATTATTTTCAATGTGAATAAATGGGAAACTTAAAAATAAGTAATTTCGTGAAATTTGCCAAAACAGACTTATTTATACCAATATGTCGAGAAATATTATGACAATTACTAAATGGTTACCATTGGAAAGTGAAGAACACATGAATTTATTTAGTGGATGCAGACAATTAGAACATTCAGCAATTAAGCTTTTCGAAAATATTGAAAAATTTGTTTGGAATATTGAAACTTGTACTAACGATCCAGAAGCCATTATTACCGGAGAATATATACTAAAGGTAATTTATTTAAAATGTACTGTTTATTTTCTTTCAAACGACTCATTTAAATCAGTGCAATTTAAATTTCAGGAACTGGAAACCCTTGCAAACGAAGTGGAAAGTACTGTAGACAGTTTTAAAAAAGTTTTTAATAAACTGAACATAACTGGTCCCCCCATAGCATCTTTTAAATCATCTTATTGGCAAAATACTCTGCAGAAAGCAAAGATCAAGCTTTTATATTCAATAAGAAAACTTGTGCAGAAACTTTTAAGTTTGTTTGTTAATTATGGGCAAAATTTTTTGATTCTCATTTTAAGGTAAACGTACCTTATTTAGATCCGTAAAAACATGCTGATTAACTTATTAAAAATTGATAATTTGCAGGATTTCAAACATGTACAACGAATGTTTGGACATAGACAATAAACAAAAATTATCAGAAGACGCCTGTATATGTAGTAATATGTGTCCCTATTTATTGTACCCCTTAAAAAGGATTTCCGTATCAACTTTATTACAAATATTATCCCAAAATAGGGCTGAAACATGCTGTCATAAACTCATTGACTGTTTACTGGATGTTTACAAGTCTTATGATGCCACTGAAGAGGACAGTACGTCTGATAGTTCAAGTGTTGAAATTTACAAGTAAGTACTACCTAACTCTATCTTGAATGCATATGTTGTTTCAGTTTTAATTTATTTTAGACAATTTTTAGGGCCATTGCAAACCACATGTCTCCACTACAGGCTGCTGAAAATGCATCTAAAAGTAAATTTGAAGAAATGCAAACAGATCACTGCTTTATAGCAATTGAGGAATTATTGGCCAGTGAAGAAAACAAAGCTTTACAAATATTGATAAAAACTAAAGAAATTTCTCCAAATATGCTAGATAAAGATATCATAACGAGACCAAAATATTCAAGTACTTAATTGTGTTTGGATGTCAAATAAATCGTTCATTTATTTTTATTTTGCTTTTTATTACAAAGCAATGCCTTATTTATATTTTAAAACGATTGCTTTTTATTTTCTTTTATTTTAAATTTTATTTAATTAGTCATTAAACTTCTATTTAAAGGTGAAATTGAAATCAAGGAAGATGCTAAAAAAGCATTACTAAATTATTATCAATTAATATTATGGATTGAGGTGGGGACTTTCTTAGAGCACGTTATACTCTGGTGGGGTGCGTCTCCCTTAAGTGCAAGACCACCTCATTCCAGTCAACATTTAAGAGAATGGATAAACCAATTAATACCAAAAGGTTGTTTAAACCGTTTTTTTGACGGTCTGCATTAATTATTTATTTATTTCAGTTAAGTTACCAGACTTTGTCCTGGCGGCACTTACCAGTTTGGCAGATGCTTTAGGCGTCCACGTTGTTTTGACTTCATGGGATCAACAATTTCAATTAGCTTTAATCGCTTCGAAGGCTCCTTACACACTTCAAACTGGACGCCTGTTCAGTACCATGCTGAGTAATCTCGTGTATTTGTGTAACCAGTGCGAAGTCACCAACGATTGGATTTTGGGGGCCCCATTGGATGAACTACCATTAGTGGAACAGATACCAATTTTTCATAGATTAGGTGACTTAATTTATAAGGAGTTTATCGATAATAAATTAATAAAATCTCTTAGATCATTCGATACATACAACAAGATTATGGGCAATGGGCGAAACAAAAAGACTGGCAAACAATTGGGATGTCGACAATTTTTTTATGATTACACATTGTGATATAAATAATTTCTTAGGGCAATTGGACGACCTCCGAATGGCTTGCCATTTGCCAGAAATTCAGAAAGGGGGCTTGGGGGTTCACGTAGAAGTGTGCGCAAAAATGAGGGAGAAACTGATATCCGAAGTAAAAGAAAACCATGAAAAGTTAAAAGTAAGCAATGCTGTTGTACTTAATAACAGACTCGATAATTAAAATTTACAGGCAGCTCCTAAACTTTGCGTGGACAACTTGTGTAAAATCTGCAGGACAGTGAGTTTGGCTCATCTACAAATGATTTTTCCCAATAATAAGTACTGGAAACAAGTTGGTCAGAAAATGCCTGACCAGCCAAGTCCATACATTGAGCAATATTTAAGTAATAAAAATTAATAACAAACATATAATACATGTATAATTAATAAAATAATTTTAGACGAAGTGCTGGCCCCACTTCTGATGGCGACACACGACGTGAACATAAGCAACATGGTATTAAAAATAATGTGCGAATGTTTATTGGACCATATTTATGCAAATAAAATAAAGTTTTCTCATTACGGTGCTTATCAACTCTTGACAGACTTTTACTCTATTGGAACGTGGATCGTAAATTGCAAAGATATCAGTCAAGAAACGCGAAAGAAAATGTTAAGGAACGAAGTACTCAGAAGGTGCGAGGGGGTTGGAAAATTATTGCTAAGATCGCCTGGGGAAAAGATAAAAATGGAGGATAAGTTTCAAAAAATGGGTGAGTAAGGATGCTAATAGATGGTAACATTACAAAAAAAGATAACTTTTTTAGAAGATTATGGTTCAGATAGTTCAGACAGCACACAGTTGATGCCTGCAGAAATGTATGTGCCTAATCAACAGCAATGGTTAGCACTGAGGGCTCGAAAGAGAAGTCGCTTATTTACGGTTGCCACTTGTTGTAATAATAATTCAGATTGATATTGTTGTTCTTGCTATACAATAAATTTAAATTATTTATTTTTAATAAATCAAAAATATCGGTACGTAACGGAGGTAAAAGGAGAGAAAATTGGAAGCGAAGGACTAAATAAATGAAAAAAAAATGTTAGATATTTTTTAACAAAGTGTACTTTCGAAAAATTAATCGAGTATAAATACAGTAATAGTCTTTGGCGTTATATACAAAGAGTATATACACTTCTTATCGTTCAAGCTAGTACTTTGTTTATTATACCTTATTAGTGGATTGTCGTCAAAGTAACAAAAAATTAAAGTGTAATTAATAATTGGTAACGACTAGTTAAATGCCAATATAATATTATTTATAGTAAATGTTAAAAATTATACGAGTGCCTACAAATTTATCATAATCAGTCAATCAATGCTCAGTACATATTTATCTTTGCTGATAAAGAAATGTTTGCAAAAAAGAAGCACTAAACATAGTGATGAACAATATCACAAAATTCACAAACAAACTAATTAATTACTTTTTTTGATCCCATTCTTTCGTAAATCGAGACTTTTCATTTTCTTAAACACTAAAGTATTATATTCAGATACTTCGATGGGAATCTAACTAAAAATAATTTTTATCACACACAAAAATCATAATAATTAAATTAATATCTAATTCCTTATCAGGATCTATTTTTTACTTTTCCAACAGAAAATCACTTACTTTTTAAATTTAAATGTGCTAACATATTATACAGTAATTAAGTAGTAAAAAAAAGTTACTATACAAGCTGCTAAAATCTGCTACCAAATTTAGTTAGGCACAAATGGATACTTACTAATTACAAAAAAAAACTTCAATACTGTAAAAAAAAAATAATGTTCTTTTAAACCCTGGTCAAGGAATAAACTATCTACGCAATTTTGGTTTATTGCATTGTCGGTCTACTTTTGGATAGTATCTCGAATAATATCAATAATGTAAATGAAATATAAACGTCTATTAATAAATAATTAAATCACTTACTTTTCGCGGCTGCAACTTTTGCTATTGTGACAGGTTTGTTTTCGAATTTCTGTTGCAACGAGGCAACTGTTGAATTCTGTTTAGCAACCGTTTTCGCACCAACTGAAATACTCTTATTTCCAATGCCAGCATCAGAATTGTGTTTCACCACTTTAGTAGCGACAGACGGTTTATTTTCACTAATTTTTGGTTTCTTGTCAGTGGGCAATTTGGCACTGACAGTCAGCGACTTGTTAATCTTCGTAGCAACCTTGGGTGGATTTGGGATGTTGGGCTTTCTGGCAGTTGAGTTCCCTCCATTAAGGACATCTGGAGATTTCGAAATGCCACCACTTGGTGTTCTGCTGCTGGTCGAACAACTTGTTACAAGATCAGGACTATTATTATTTAAAGTTTTCGTGTTATTCTTGGGAGTTGCTGGGGCAGTCCTTGTTGGCGACGATATTCTCGTTCGTAAGTTAGGAGGAGTCGTTTGGCGACCTGGAGGCTTTGTTGTTGCCGATTTTTTATCGTTTGCACTCTCGGATTTGTCAAAATTTAGTTTCTTTGGAGACGATGGGCTCGGATTACTTTTGTAGAAAGCTGCAATGGGACCTTGAGATCTTTGTAATATAGTTGAAAAAGGTTTATAACTTTTTTGTTCGCTACTATCACTATTATTACTGTTACTACTGCTGGACGAAGTTCCAGTTTGTTTCGCGTTAGCACCTACAGTGTTTTTTGAGTCACTTACACTATTGGGTTTCACCGAAATTACAGGTGGTTTTTTCGGCGAAGATTTTAATTCATCTTTTACATTGTTAGTTATAGTTTTGCTCGGATCTTTTACGTCGTCCGTACCCTTAATCGGGGGATTAACAGACGATGGGTTTATGTAACCGCTTGAAGTAGAACTAGCACTCGATTTGTTCATATTGCTATAAGAACTGTCAGGTACTTTGTATAAACTGGCAGTATTCACATATGTTTCAAGAGGGTCCACTACCTGATCCTGACCCTCTAAAGCGTTTCTTTCCTGTTCTTCCTTTTCCTTTTTCTTTCTGGCCAGAGTCGACGTTGAATAAATAGAATCTAAATTGCGATTTTGAATTTCGGAAACGATCTCGCCCAAAAGTCCTACGCTTTCGCTAGAAGCTGAACTGCTCTTGTTATTTTCATGGGGCACTATCGGTTTTGGGGGAGATTCATCGATTACAGCGTATATGTTGTCATTTCCAACCGAATCTTCGCTTCTCGATGTTGTTATCTGATTTAAGCAATCGTCGTACTGATTTTGAGAAGCATTTTTGTTGGAAGTTACTAACTTTTTATTACTTCCACACGTTTTCTCTTTTTCTGATTGATTCTGATGAGGGTTTGGTCTTGGGGGTGGAGGACTTTTAGGACGAACGCCGGATGGAATACTGACCGGTCGTTTTGCTCCATGAGCTTGTCTCATTGATCCGAAATTTGGAATATTTGGTCTTTTAGTTACTGCGTCCCCCCGCATACTTTGAGCGCGCATAACTACGACTTTTCGTTCTTTTTCGTCTCCTTCAACAGGAAGTGCTGTTTTTGCCAATGGAATATCACTTAGGGGAATAGGATGAGATATTTCAATTGTACGTAGAACATTTTTGTCCAGTGTCTTTTTCTGTTTCATTTCCACCGCTTGCTTCCTTGGCAATGTTCCTGTGCTGTGGAGTATACTTTTATCGCCAGATTTCAAAAACGAAGCGATACGATTCAGAGCACTGTCTTTATTAGCTGTCTTTTTTTCTTCCTCGATTACCAGGGGCATAGCGTCTGGACTTGAAAGTGGACGTGAATTGGATGCGGGTGAAGTAGGGGCTGGTCTAAGTGGTACTTTTGTTGCAGCATTTTTTAAAGGAGAAACCAGTTCTTTTGCTGTACAAGTTGAGTTTTCCAAAATTGGTGAAGAAATTATGGGTCTTGGGTGTGCTCCGGGGTTCAAAGGGGGCAACGCAGGTGCCGCTGATGTGTTATGAATTGTAGAAATGGTGGTAGCTATGTTGTTTGCTTTGGCATTCGACTGTGCACGCACTATTGGCTTGTTTAATGTGTTGCTGATTTTTGTACCTGCTGTCGTTTTCGATCTTCCCAAATTAGGACTTTTAACTATTGTAACAGTTGGAGCAATGGGAACTGCTGGCGGCGGCTTCTGGATAGAAGCAACTTTGGGTGTAACGGGAATCGCTGGAGGCACTGGGGGTGCTGGCCTGATAACTTCTGGTTCTTCTTTCTTAGCAGGCGCTATAGAAAAGCCTTTGAAATGACCGAAAAACTCACTTTGGAATGATTGCGACGATTCGTTCTGAAGTAGAGAATGATTGTCTTCCGTTTGTTTTGTAGCTTCAGGTGCTTGAAATGGTGACATGCCACGGGGTTTCGGTGGAGGTTTCTTCCTGTAGGGAGCAAAAAAGCATAAGCTACCCTGTGCAAAGCTATGTGTACAGCTTCGTTTTGTTTANAAGATCGATTTCCTCATAAATTTCTTCAGTCTCACTACTGGAACTTCTCCAGGGCTTGGCCTCAACCTTTAAAATTTTGGGACTACTTTTTTTGAACATAACCCGAGGTTCGGAGTTTCTACTACCCGAAGGTATAGGCACGTTATCATAAATAGGAACAATTTTGTTAATGGAAGAACTCTTGTCAATAATAGCTGGATTAGTAGTTGATATTAGTTTGGCGGGTTCGATTTCGTGTTTTTGCACTGAACAATCACTTTTTGCCGTTACATTTTGGGAAATTGTGGATATTGTGGGCTTAGAACAAGAGACAGTACGACCAACACCTTTACATGCAGCCGTGACATGCCGACATTGGTTACATATCAAATCAACTACGTACATTGCTGCTGACTTCTTCCAAAGGAGCTTCAGATTGTGTCGGGTGTAGTAGCTTAGGAAACCGATGATGGCCAAGGCAGGAATTATACCCAAAAATATTATGAACATTACAGTCACGAAAACTCGTTGAGCTGAAACAAAAATGCCATAAAAATACTGAACAATTAATACCAAAAGTGATAAAGACAATATAAAGAATAGACCAATGTCGAATTGCTTTTATCAAAAAGGTCAGACATGAGGAAGTATGGAAGCATTGGATTAATTGGCAGAACGAAGGGCGCTGTAGTAGTCAATAAGGGAAAGCAGAAACAGGATGAAATGGTAAGTTATCTTCTAACTCATGAAGGACTACATCATTAATACTAAAAGACAATATAAAGAATAGCCCAGTATCGAATTGCTTTTATCAAAAAAGATCAGATATGAGCAGGTATTGGAATGAGTGGCAGAACGAAGGGCGCTATAGTAGTCAATAAGGGAAAGCTGAAATAGGATGGTATGGTAGGTCATTTTCTGAGACATAAAGGACCAGTTAGAGACATATTATAAACAGAAACATGATTAATGATAGACATAGGAAGACAGTATTTAGTTTTCTTACCGTTTGGATCAGAAGCAGGTCCACTATCTTCGGACCCTCCTGGTCCAGGATAATCACAGAAAGGTGGGGCAAAACCGTCTTTACAATGGCAGTGACCAAGACTGTTACAATACCCGTTTCCATTACAGTCGTTTGGACAAGACGGAGATGCTTTCCTGAGACTTTCGACTGATAAGCACCGTTGATTTACACACATCTTTAAAAATAATCAAAGTGTTAATAAACAATAGTTATACGGTACACCAAAATATTATATGTCAATTTTCAAACCTTTCCATCTCCACATTTCGCACCGTCAGGTGCCAAGCCAGGATCCACTTGGTTAATACCCAAATCCACTAAAGCTGTTCGACAAGGAATAATCGAACCTTTCAGGTTTATAAACGTATGAGAAATTATGGCCACAGATTCCATTCCAAACTCCAAACGTTCGTTCAAATGCCTGCAGTGAAGCATTCCACACAAAACGTCTCTGCAATTAATTGTGTTTCAGTAATTAAATAATTGTAAATAAATAAGTATTTCAAAACAACATACTCGTCACGACACTTGAAGTACGATTGATTTAACTTATAATAGCCGCAATTT